AATGTTTTGGCCTTAAACCCGGGGCCTTCTCTCTTTTTTTTTTTTTTTTTTTTGAAGCACATATGGTGTCTTCATCACCCTGCTGCTGCAATCCTGACATATCACTTTCATTAAGTGAGTCAAGCTGCAATTATTTTTGGGGTTCTTACTCTTCCAAATGGTTTGTTAAGTTCTTCCTAATTTCACAAAATACATAATTTTTTTTGTTGGGATGTCTAGCCACAGAAAAGTAGAGACAAAGCCCATATATTCCTGAAGGAACTGTGTTATATTTTTGGTGGTAGTTCACGATTTATATCATCTTCCAAGAGGATCAAAGTAGATGGAAGGGATAAGGGAGGAAAGAGAAAAGAAAAGAGAAAGAGGGAACTCCTTCCTTAGTCATATGTTTGGGCTTAGATTTTTCAAAATAATAAAGTATGTTGCTTTTTTTATAATACTTTGTTTTATGGCACCTTAATTACATTACTAGGAAGATAAGGAAATTGTGCATCTTATAAATATTAAAGGATTTTACAACATGCAGATAGTGAATTGAATGAGATTAGTGAGATTCTAGAGGGTAATTTTCAAATACAGTTTCTTTTTCACATTCACAATGCCTTCTGCATTACTTGTTTAAAAATAGGAAAGTTATGAGGAACATGAGAAAGGAAGCATGGAGGGCACAGGTGGCAGAGGACAGGCAGCAGCAGGTACCTGGTCTTTAATCAAAGCACTGTTCTACTACTTGCTCTCTTGCCTGTTCAGGCATCAGTCTCTTTTCCGTATATTTGTAGTATTTGCTTTGAAGTCAGGCATTCAAATCCCACCTCTCATCTTGTCCTCTTACTTGGTTACCTGGATGACTTTCAAGCTCAAAGAGATGGAGTAACTTCCTCATAGCACAGCTAAGCGTAGTCTATGGTGAATTCAGGTGAGGGTTAGAGACACTACATGGAGAGTGTCTAGCATATATTGACTTTTTTTTTCTTGCACATGATACTGGGGGTTGTACCTAGGGCCTTTGTACTAAGCGTGCTCGCTCGCTCTCCCCCTCTCCCCCCTCTCCCTGTCTCTCCTTTCTGCATTTGAACTTGAAATCTACCTTATTCAGGTTCCCAGAGTGTTAGGATTACAGGTGTGCACCACCATACCCAACATACATAACTGCTTTTGCCAGCTACCGCTACTGTCCATATTTTGCTGTCCCCTACGCCTCCTCCACTTCCCCAGCTCCCTACTGTCTTTAGCACAGTATAGCAGGCCCTCTGAGCATTCATTTCCTGATAGGACACAATTCACATGTTACTTTGGGGAAAGTAACATCCCATGCAGAATTATGTAGTTTGTGGTCCTACTTTACATTGTATCCACCTGGTACCCTTGTTCTGGGTGTGCCTTGTCATGTGCCTTCCTGGTGAATTTATAGAGGGTGGAGCTCCACCCTCATATACATGTCTAATTGTTCTTGTGCTGTTGATGTGCTCTAAACATATTAAGCCTTCCATAAATGTTCTTTTTGAGGGGAGGTAACGGGGATTGAACTTGGGTCCTTGCGCTTGCCAGGCAGGCCACCGAACCGCTGAGCTAAATCCCTGGCCCTCCATAAATGTTCTTTAGATGAATCAAAACTCTTACCCCAGAGCCCAACCTGATTGAGGCTTTAAAAATAGTGGTATTGCATTATTTACCTAATAGGTTTATACTAGGAAGAAAAATAAATCAAATTTTTCCTTTGTTCTTTAGTATCTACACTTAGAAAACTTAAAGGAACTAAATGCCAAAAGGTTCTTGGGCCTGAGATATTTTAATACTTTAATATTTTAATTTTTAATATTTTAATACTTGTTTTGAAAATGGCTGCTGTCATAAGTTATGAAAATCTCAAATTTGCTCATTTGTTAAATTGGTTGTTACAGATTTACATCTATAACACTATATAGTAGAATGTAGTTTCTAAAAATGCTGTGATCCAAGTTGGTGTTTGATAAGCTGCAATTTAGTTGACAGTGACACAACTCCTGGCCAGGTTTCAGATTTCTTGCTGCTGGACAGTGTTCTCTGTGGTGAAATCCCAACTCTAGTAAGTACAGCAATACGACAGTGTAGGTTACAGGTGCTATACCTATTAGCATCTGAGCAGGTTGGCACCCTGTGTCCTTGTCCATAGTATTTGAACCTTTCCCATGGCTTCCTCAGGTACCTGGATCAAAGTCAGACGAAGGAAAAAAAAGAAAAAATAGATCACCTGAAACATTTACCTTCTAATTTTCTTCTCGCTGTCTTTTAAAATAAGTTTTTAAACATGCTTCATAATTTCGTATTATCAGTTGTATTTTTGAGATTTTTTTTCCTTGAATTCCACCTCCTACAAGTCTCCTGGTCTTTCCAATTTCAATTTCTATGTATAAAATATGAACCTTAACAAATGTAAAAAAAGATTATGTGTTACAAGAATTTTTATTGTTGTTGGGGAAGGTCCTTTTTCAAAAAAACAGAGAAGGCAGATTTCAGTGCTTCATTGATACTCTCAGCCATAGAAGAAATGCTAAAAGTGTTGTACCTTGAGAATGACACCTTCACCTTCAAGGCAGGGGTTTCTCTGGAGCCCTGCAAACTGAATGGATCCCCTCTGACTGGCAGGCATACTTCTGTCCTGGGCAAGGTGGGAGGTACTGTATGCCAGGTGTTTGTGTCCTTGTCCTGTGGCTATGTCCTCCCTACCCCAGGGTCTATTCCTCTTCACATAAAGATCTTATTTAGAATAAGTGCATGACAACAAATAATATGGGTGTGTACTTTGCTATACAATTGTATACTTATGGGTATAAAATTTGTTATCAGTAGTTTTAAATTTCTCAGGTCTTTGTTTTTTTGCTGTTTTTGAGACAGGGTCTCACTCGAAGCCATCTACCTGCCTCAGTTCTGGGATTACAGGCTTGCACCACCACACCTGACTACTTCTCAGATATTTGAACTGTGCAAGAAAAAAAAGCACATCATTTTACCTGTAATGTTTTTTAAAAGAAATATTTGCTCATTTGGTATTATTTTTGCAAGAGATTTGAGGATATTTAGGTACAGGGCAGCTTTTGAACATGTTTCCATAGGTAAACAACATTTGTAAAGCAGTCTGTTTGCTTCCTTCCTTCCTAAACTGGCAGCTTATTTCACTCAGGAATGCCTCTTCTCAGACTGCCAGGCCATGTCCTGGCAGTTTGTCTAAGTTTCTAGCTTGTCTTTGAAAAATGCCTTAGTATAATGAATACTAGTTGCAGTCAGGAAATCTGAGTTCTTAAGCTGCTTGTGTTCAGGCGATCTGAGCTTTATCGTAACTCATTCCCAGAGACCTTTGAATTTCCTACTGCCAGATATCTCCAGCCTTTCGTGTATTCATATGACAGTTATATTTCTTGGGAAAGGTTCTCCCCCATGTGCCATTTGCCATATGACCAATTTCTCACCTTCATTCCTTCAGTACCCTCTGGTAACAGCTCTTGAGGAGAAGCTGTAGCTCCTTTGGCATTCTTTTGAAGTCATATTAGGACATACTATTTCTGTAGTCCCTAAAATACAATGAATTTTAGTTGTTCAAGTCCCTAGCAGTCTAGGGGGTGCGTGTCCTTATAGATGAGTTCAGGACCAGGCATTTGTGTGTATTTCACACACACACCCCACCGCCAGATAATTGAGCTCAGTATGTACATAGGATGAATCAGGCATTGGCTGGGCCAGCCCTAATGAGGGCAGCCTTTAATTTTACACTAAGAGCTTTACTAAACACTCTCCACCACCCAGCATCATTTCCAAAAGGCAACCTGACTTGGTACCAACAATTCAGAGACTGGTTCTGAAATCTTACACAATAATTCTACTTTTGAGGAATCGAGTTTGCATATTTTCTGGGGTATTGTTTTTATATGTAATTTTCTTACTGTGTCAATACAGTGGTCTCACACATTTTAAGCATGTGAAAACTGGTTAGTTTCTTGGTTTGTCTTTTGATGGAGGATTCTTTGAAATTTATTATTTTATTAAGAGTAATATCTCCCAAGAAAATTACAAATATTTGGCCAATATGGCAAACACTGTTTGATAAAGTGAAATTGTAGCAATGGAAATGCTTTCAGAAACACTATCAGATTCCTTATATGAATGATTACAGTCACCACTTTAAAAATTCCAATTTTACCAGTTTAAAACAGGTAAGTGTTTTACATACTCAAGATTCTGTGTAAGATGTGGCTGTAGCATTAAGATACGTACATATATTTTAATTAATGATTATTATTTTTAACTACAGGCGCTCTTACCAAAGTAAAGGAGAGTAGGCGACATGTGGAAGAAGGAAAGATGGAGGTCCAAAAGGCTGATGGCATTCAAGATCGCTGTAACACTATTTCTTTTGCCACTTTGGCTGAAATTCACCATTTCCATCAAATTCGAGTAAGAGACTTTAAATCACAGATGCAGCATTTCTTACAACAACAAATTATATTTTTCCAAAAAGTAACCCAGAAGTTGGAAGAAGCTCTTCACAAATATGATAGTGTTTAATAACTGGACATTGGATTGTGGACTTTTTTCAATTCAAGGATAATTTCTACAGCAGAATAAAAACTGCTATCAAAGAACTATTGCCAACTATCAGTGGTGGTACAAGGATGGTTTTGTGTTCAACTGAAACCCAGCTGAATATATAATTATGTAGAAGAGAAGCAGTTAATATGGTTATATAATAGAAACAGTACCACACATTGTAACTAAATTATACTATGTATGCCTACACTACCATTGTAACTTTTGGAATAATGATTATACTATTTGCCTTATTGCTTTTTGAAGTATGAATATTTTAGTGCATACTTTGTAGACCTCAAAACCCACAAAGGGTCTCAAAGAAGCCGGCTGGATAAAAGCCTGCTATGGATGCCTTTTTACTCTCATAGATTGGGATTACCTAAATTCAACCTATTCTGTGTTTACAAACTCCCAACTAGAGCAGCTATGTGACTTTGTGCCTTTAGACTCTTGGTTTTTCATTTCTGCTCCCGCTCCTCTTTTAAGTAAGCCCCAACTTTTCTGATCAAAAGAGTGAAAGGCCAGTGCATACAATGACAAACTGATGTTAGCCTCATATTGTTAGGGCTGGGGGTAGCGGGAGGATCACTCGTCATCAGTTTGCACAGCAGGTATTATCTCCTGGTAAGATGCTCATGAGGGCAGAAGAGTGAGATTCATTCTCATCCTTGGACATGAAGTCTGTTGGGGAAGAGATGGTGCATTATATTCTCTTAGATGCTACAGTAGCATAGCCTCTTCACACAGGTGTCCTGAAAACTAGGTGTGAGGATTTCAGCAAACAAGTCTTATGTGGAGAAGGAGGAGTCTGATCAGTCAGGGGATACAAGTACAGAATCAACCACACACACTCTATTTTAGTTCTTAGGAGGATTTTCTTTTCTTTTAGCTTGAAGTTTTTCTTTTAATACTCAGTTTTTTGTTTTTAAATGGATCTACACTGTTAACTGATTGAGACTCCACTGTGATTCACTCGTTTACGTAATCAAAAACTTTTCAGGGATGTCTGTAAATTTCAGTGTTATACGTGATGAAAGTGGTGTTGGTTGATATAAGGAGGGACCAGAAATAATTTCTACTATTCCATTACTGAAGGAAGAATTATTGATTTATACTGTTTTAAAAAAAGAAAATATTGATAAAGCCCACTCAAAGGCCACTTAACCTTAAAAATTATTTTAAATATATTCTTTTATTATTATATGGGAAATACATATGGCTAAAAAATACCAAAAAGTTTCAGAAGCAGCTTCCTTTAAAAAGCACAAAGAGGTTCTGGCTTGAAGTGCTGAAATCTCAATGTTTTTATAGTCGCTGAGCTAAATAATGTGATACTTGTGTTCACAGATTTTAAAACTGTCACTGAAAGGTTAAAGTATCTACTCTTTTCATGAAGTCAAACTTGTACTGCCTCAGAAATCCATGGGTACTAAAATAGTAAAATGGAAGTAGAGAGGTCAGTTTGAAGTAGTGGTGAGTCACAATATGTAAAGAAAAGGGTCAGTTTGCAGAAAGTCATAAGAAAAGGTTATTAGAATGATTACTCAACAGCACAGTTACTCTCTAAAAAGTAATCTCATATGGGTTGAATTTTTCAGATCAGATTTCCATAATTTTGATCTTGGTCAAAACTTGGTACCTTAAAAACAAAAAACAAAAACTTGGTACCTTAGAGTAAATAGAGCCACATTAAACGCCCCGTGGCTTTGTCTCTACCACGGATAAGTAGAATATCTTCCAATACATTATTCTCTAAAAAACAACTTTCTCTTGATTGCAGAAGAAGCCCAGATATATGAAAAATTAATTTTATTGCAGAAGTTTGGAGGTTATAGCATTTAAGTTTGAGTCTGTATTGGACAAATAAGCACTATGCTTTTCAAATGATTTTAAAGTCACATTTACTTGCCTCTTTATTTTGATGATGGTTTGATTTTTTTTTTTTAAGTAAAATCACTAAACTTGTGCATTGGTAGCGTGGAAGTTAATCTGAGGTATCTTGTATGATTGTGCTTTAGCCAGGGTGGACATAGCTTAAATTAAAATAAAAACTAAAGATTAAAGTACAAAGAAGTATAAATTCACGCTGCCTACTTCTAAGAGAACATATGTTCTTCATAACTGATTAACATGCCACTGATAAATAGGGGATTTAAATTAATTCTGTGGGTTAGAAAACCAGAAATATTAGTGTCCATTTTCATCTAAGGTCTTTATTCTCTAATGTTCTTGGTCCTATTGAAACATTTCAGTATATAAAAAATACTGCAATGTTAATATCCAAGAGAAAAGCCATTATCATGTGTATACTGGTCATCATGATCAGTGTGGTGGTACAGTTTTTAAAAAATAAACTATCCTGCCCTTCAAGCCATCATTTGTCTTTATTTCTAGAATCTGTAATTCTCTTATGTGATGTGTTCATAAATTCATCTAAGCTTTATTCTCTAATGTTCCTGGTCCTATTGAAACATTTCAGTATATAAAAAATACTGCAATGTTAATATCCAAGAGAAAAGCCATTATCATGTGTATACTGGTCATCATGATCAGTGTGGTGGTACAGTTTTTAAAAAATAAACTATCCTGCCCTTCAAGCCATCATTTGTCTTTATTTCTAGAATCTGTAATTCTCTTATGTGATGTGTTCATAACATGAGGGGTGTGCACCTGGGCCTAGTTTTGTTGTTTCAATTGCAGCATTGTTTGTGCGCTGTAGTTATAAGGCTATGAAGCTGGTTCTACGGCCATGCATTATCATTCCGTTATCCTTCCAGGCTGGTATCTGAAGGTACAGTTTATATCCAGGATAGAGGAACACATTTAAAAAGGAAACAAACTAGTGCATGTTGGTTAACAATGGTGTAGTAGTTGGGATTTTCTTAGGCTTCACATATAGGTTATATTTATTTATAACAATTCAGCAGATTCCTAAATGCTGACTTTTAGTTGTCTTAAGTTTTTCTGCTGGTCTCATAATTAAGGACTTGAAAAAAGTTTTTCTCTTTCGAGTCAACTCACGTGAAATTTATGTATAGATTTTTAAATGTCATTCTGTACTAAGTTCATTGTATAGCCCTTTTTCCTATTTGTCTTCACTTTCTCAGAATCAAATACCATGCCTGAGTCTGAGATCTTTAAATCCATAAACATTATTCAGTTTTTCATTTCCAACTTGATCTTTGCTTAACAGAAAAAGTAAAACAGGATATTATTTATTTATGTTGAATATTGTTGTATTTCCTTCAAAATGTTATGATTAGTTCAGATCAGCCATGTTTATCTTTTTAAAAATAACAAAAGTTACTTTATTTTTCAGCTTCAGTGGAATGTTACAATGATTGTTTCTACATTAAGGATGAATTTATTTAGTGTGAGACTTACACAGAGAAATGGAAGCATATATGTTGTAAATTAAGCTTTTGTCTATAGTTGCCATGTAAATTGTTCTTGAAACTGTAGCTAATTGTTTTGTTTTGTTTTTACGGTATTGGGGATTGAATGCAGGACCTTGTGCTTGCCAGGCAGGCGTGGCACCATTGAACTACATCCCCGACCTAATTGTATTAATTTAAAACCATAAACCTTTCACTTAGGCCTTGGCAGTATTTGCTGATATTAATAACATCAATATTTAAGTACATAGTAATTGCAATATGTGTTTTAAAAATAGCTACTGTTTGTCAAGACCTGACACTGAGTAAGTGCTTAAGTACTTCGTGTACTGTCTCTATTGGTTGCCAACTCAAACCTGCCTAAGCAAAAAATAATGGCACAAAGACCTACTGTATCCCACAGGTGACCAAAGTCCCATCTTGAATGAAGCTTATCCACTTTGTGGGATTTTTATCTAGTATTTGCTGTCTTTGCAGATCTGTTTTCTTCTCCATCTTCCTCCCCTTCTCATCCTCCTTTCTCTTTGTAGCTTGGCTTTCCTAGCATCTTCCAGTGTCTGTAATGGCTTTGCCATTTGTTGGTTCGCAGGTCTACTTGGACCAGTGGTGGACACCTGTCCCAAGATGGACAAATCAAATACTCTATAGTTTTAGAAATTTTTTCAAAGGGTATACCGGGGAAGAAAGGAAATAGTTGGTTCCTCTCAATATGAGCTCTACCTAATGGTCCATGAAACAGGCCTCTGAGGAAGATTCCATCTCCAGTTAATAGATGAATTTTTTAAAAAATTACAGAGGTTCATGTCTTTTGCCCAAGATCATACAAGCTAAGTGATGGAGCTGAGATTCAAATTGACTCAAGCCTAGACTTCACTGGATGCCATTTTTTCTTTTTAGAAATGGCTAAACCTTCCCAGGTTTGCTTGAATTGATGGAATTTTTATCATTCTTTGGATGCTTAACATGAAGGTACAAAAGGAACCTCTTACAATCTTCTTTGTACCCATTTCTATTGGAAAAGATAAAGGTCAGAGCTGTGCTGCTTTGTCTCTTAGTGGAAAGGGATGACTTTAGCCTGACATAGACTGGGAAGCTTGTCAAGTGGGTATTGTTCTGCTCCCATCTCCATGCAAATGAAAGCACATTTAAGTTACCATCAAAATGGTCTTGGTCAACCATAGGTTGTGATGAGTACCACTTGGTCACAGGTGGAACGATTATAGAGTTCTGAGCTGATAAGATCTTAGGGGCCTGAGAAATGATGGTGGAGGCCGTAGAAGGATGCTGCTGTGCTTGGACACCAGAGGCAAGAATCCAGAAAAACCCAATAGTGAAAGCCAGGCCTCCCCACTCCATCCCGGACTTCCAAGGTGGGAAGTAGTTAATCCAAATTGGCTCTTGGCTGTAGTGATCACAGTTCTTTTCACTTTGTCTTCATCCCTGTGGCAGATGTGGAGCTTCCAAAAATGCCGCATTTCCTTGCCTGTTTTAAAAGACTGTCTACTTCATTGAGTGAACTTGTTCCAGTAGTGTGCCAAGGATAGTCAGTTGCTCATATGAAGTTACCTTCAAGAGGGCTTACACTCAAAATCTCTGGCTTTTGTTTCTGTGTCCTGCCAGTCATCCCAGAAATGATCTCTTAAGTTTGAAGACGTCCAGTCCTTGTTTTCAGTCACGATAGGAAATGGCTCTCATAACTTAATAATTGCTGAGTTGATGGGCTGTGCACTTGAGCCAGCATATTAGAAAAGCAACACTTTGGAACCAGAAACCTCGGTCAAATCCTAATTTCCCCACTGTGTTTGACATATTTGTGCCTCAGTTTCCTTAGTCATGTCGGGTAGATTGAGGGCATTAGTTTAACCATCATTTAAAAGTCCTTAACCATTTAGCAATACTCTGTCAAGCATACAAAATGCTAAAAATTCCAAAGTTAGGTGTTGAGTACTTGATAGCTATGATCCTAAACTTTGAGTGGCCTTGGACTAGTTGCTTTAACCTCTCTGAGCCAGTTTTCCCATTTGTAATGGGATGTAGTATCCCATTTAAGAGAACTAAGTGGCAAATGAAAAGCCCTAAACCCAACACATGAAAAGACTAGGGACACTGTAAAGATCCCCTGTGATTATGTAAGAAGGGGTGAGATGAAGGATTTAACGAGAACAGCAAGTCAGCTCAGCCATGGAAAGTTAAGGAACCCATTCTTGGGTCCTGGTTGTGCATTAGTCCTGCCTTGCCAAACAGGATGCTGAACCCAACCCCATTCTAATTTCCTGACACTAGAACCATAGCTGTGGTGATAGGATAGCCTATGGACTTGATTGATTCTGGATCCTCCCCAGGGATTTGTCACACGCACTTCTGGGTGGGTCATGGAGACATGGCCTTGAGGTTTATACCTGATCCTTTTCCCCTTTCCTGCTTTTCAACCATTATGGTCTAAGCATCTTTGCCACACCCTTACACCTTGATGCTCCTGGATTGGAGCCAGCCTACCATGAACTGAACTCCCTTTTTAAATATGAGCCAAATTAAACCTCTCCTCCTCTTACGTTGTGGGTGTTGGGTTTTGTGTCCAGCAACAGCAAAGCTGTTAGCATAGCCACTTTCTGGATTCTTCCTGGAAGCCCAATTCTCCACTGTTTGTTAGTCTTCTGAGAACAGAGAGAGCTTAGGTCTCCAGAGACAACTCCTAAAATTAAGACCTCCCATGGCTTTCAAGAGCTAAATGCCAGTGTGTTTAGGAAGTTCTATAGTAGGAATGTCTGAAGACAGCTCAGAATTCCGTTTTGATTCACCAAATTAATAGTGATTGTATTGCATTCTTTCATACCTTAAAACTATGAACTTGCAATGTAGAATAAAGAACAGCCTGGTGAAGGTCAGTATCTTAGCTCTGACCTCATGCTGCATTTAGGTATTTTAAAATTTCACTCTGTGAAGTTCATTTGGTGCTATGAGTATCCTTGGGAACAACTATGCCTTTAATCAAAATATTAGTATAGAGCAGGTTGTAAACACAATTTGTTCTACTTTTGTTCAACCCAATCATTTTAGAAAATACAGAGTCTCAGTTTTATATTCAGACAGTTCCCTTGAGAAGTAAAACCTTTTAAAACATTGGAGCGCACTTTAGGATTTAGCAAATTAGGCTCAGCTTAAAACCAATAGTGATTCTGGGAGCCCATTGTTGTCACATCTACTTTTAATCATTTTTTTAAAAAAATCACCTGGCCACTGCCTGTGGCGTCTCTTGTTTAAGCCAATTGGAGCAGTTATTTGCTCAGACCATATTTGGCAGAAGGCTATAACTGTTAGAATGTCCAGTCCGCAGATTTGTATTATGTGATCCTGAGTACCTTCAAGGAAAGTAAATCCTGTAACTAAGGTAACGGGGCTTTGTTGACAAATGCTATTTTTTGAATGGATCTTATTGTAGATTCCAAGGAAAGAAAATTTGACCTTTTAGCTATTTAGCTAACAGACAGTCTCATAATAAATTACACAGTTATCTAAAAGATTGAAAGCTATAGGCATTGGTCATTGCAGC